AGGTGGGCGGAGAGGAGGGGGGCCGGCCCCCGAGGGCTCCTGGGAAGCTCTGGGCTTCCTCATCACGTCCTGGAGCTTCTCCACGCGAACGCGGCGCAGGTGCGACAGCCTCCTCATGGCCGAGAAGTCCTCCAGGAACGTCTCCAAGGGCACCTCGCCCTCCAGGAACTTCTCAGCCATGGCCTGGAGCACAGAAGGTCGGTGACCACTAGGGCTGCTGGGACCAAAGCCGCCCATGCCCCACCGCCCGCAGGCTGAGGGGGGCCTGTGGGCTGGGGCTGGCCCGGGAAGCTGGGGAACTGGGGCTGCGTCGGGTAAGGAGGTTTTCCTCCCGCCGCGGGGTAGGAGGGCTGTTGAGGGTAACCAGGACTGCGAGCCCGGCCCCCCGACAAGGGGTACCCGGGGCCAGAGGCACCAGAGGCGGGCGCGGGATAGCCAGGCCGGGGCGGTGTGCTGGGGGCCGGCCCCCGAGGGCTCCTGGGAAGCTCTGGGCTTCCTCATCACGTCCTGGAGCTTCTCCACGCGAACTCGGCGCAGGTGCGACAGCCTCCTCATGGCCGAGAAGTCCTCCAGGAACGTCTCCAAGGGCACCTCGCCCTCCAGGAACTTCTCAGCCATGGCCTGGAGCACAGAAGGTCGGTGACCACTAGGGCTGCTGGGACCAAAGCCGCCCATGCCCCACCGCCCGCCCCAGGTCAAAGATGAGCTGCGGCCCTCCCACCTCGCCCCGCCCCTGCGTTCCCCACCTCCCCCGGCGCATCCCTGCTGATATGCCCTCATGTGCTCATTCTGTCTGCCACTGAATGTCAGCTCCTGGGGGGCAGGGGCTGCCGGTCAAGGTCCCACGGCCCGGCCCCTGGCCCTGTGCGGGGCCCAGTGGCTGCTGCACGGATGTGCCGAATGAGTGGTGAACACTGGCTACTGGGTCTAGTGCAGTGGCCCGGGGCTGGCAGGACCTGACAGCTTCCTCCCAGCGCACGGAGACATGCAGAGAGGCGGCCCCCGGAGACTGAGAATGCTCAGAGGGGAGCAGGAGAGAGGCCAGGCAGGCCCAGGTGGGGGGGGGGGAACGCCCCAGTCCTCGGGGGCTCCTGCTGCTCTGCCCTCCGTCTGTCCTGGTCTGCCAGCTGCCCATGACCTTGCCGTCGCTCATCCATTTCTGCTTCAGCCAGAGAGTCCTGCTCTCTGCGTGCCAAAGGGCCTCCGTTGGGACAAAGGGTGTGACTCATCTTTGCCACCTACTCAGGCGCCCTCGCCCCCTGCAGACACCGGCGCTCATGACAAGAGCTCAAGGAGGGGGTGTCAGACCACCTCACCTCAGACTCTTCTTCTATCTTCATGCCCTCGATCTGCAGCAGGTCTAACAAGGCCCCCGGCTGCAGCGCCGACGAGAATTTCTCTGGAACAGAGGGCGCGAGGGTCGGCATCTCAACAGGGCCTCCCGCTTCAGCCCTGGAGGCCAGGTTTCGGCCACGGCTCCAGCGCCCGTGTGTGCCGAGGCCGGGCCCTGGGCTGCTCAGCGGGCCCAGCCCCAACCCTGCTCTGCCTCTCGGGGGAGTCACTGCACCGTCCGAGCACCGAGCCTCGCGGTCCAGGCCAGGATGTGCCTCCCACCCTCACGGCGGTCCCGGGACAAGAAAGCCGCCCGGCTCTGTAGAGCGCAGATGCGGAGCTGGCCCCGCCGACAGCCGTGGCAGCGCAGGGCGCGCTCTCTGGGTTCAAATCCCAGCCCCACCTCCAGCCAACAGCCTCCTGGTATCACCTATAAAGTGAGTCACAGCGGGACCACCCTCCAGGGCAGGTGAGGAAAGCACGGCTAGACTGGGGCCCCCTGCCCTGGGGGCGAGCGGGCTCCACTTTCCCAGGCTTCCCAGCAGCTCGCCCAGGCCCTCCCTGACCGGGACCCCAGCAGCTCGCCCAGGCCCTCCCTGACCGGGCCGCTCCATCAGCCACCCTACCCAGCTTGGCCTTCTGCTCCTGGCACCGCTCCACAAGCTTCCGGAGCTCCTGGTACTTGTCCGAGAGATTCGAGCGGCTGATCTCCAGGGGGCCCTGGAACTCCAGGTTCCGCTCGGCCAGGCTGCGGTTGGTGGCCAGCGCCATCTCCCGCTCCAGCTGCAGGTCCTGGACCTGAGGGACAGGACACCTGGCCTGAGAACCACCCCGCTCAGCAGGTGGCAGGCTGGCCCAGGGCCTCCGGGGAATCGCAGAGCTCAGCCGGCGGCGAGAGCCGAAGGACTTGGGCTCACCCCTGAGCCAGCCTCCACCGGCACCTCCCGAATCCTGGCCCATCGGCCAGTGTGGTGGGGACACGTGGGACACTGGCCCGAGGCCACAGCTGGCCCAAGGCCCAGGACGGCGCACCGTGGACTGAGCAGAGCAGGGGGGGGGGCAATTTATAGGAAAAGCCCCAGGCTTTCCAGGAGGGAAGGGACCAAGAGCCCCAGCCACTTTCCCACAGGATTCAGAGTCAGCCACCTGCTCTGAGGCGGACTAAGGTGGCCCAGGCCAGACCACAGGCCCCAGGTCAGTGACTCTGAGGGCAAGCGAGCCAGGGACAGACCGCGGCACTGACTCGGGGGACGGCCCTGCCTCCTGGGCCTCGTGTGTCCTGCAGAGAACTGTGCGGATGAGCTAACAGAGGGGCCCCCAAGAACCATAGGGGAGTCCCCACGGCCAGAGGACTCCCACCAACACACCAACAGGGACCTAATGCCAACCTCTGCCCCTGGACATGCCCTGGGAAGGCACTTCCCCAAGCCGGGCCACCAGCCTGAGGTGGCAGCCACAGGAACCCTGGCTGGACCTGCGGTGACCAGAAGCTCTGCCCATTTGCCAGGGAATCGTCTTTACCAAGAGGAGGACAAAGAGTCAGAGCCCCCACCCTGAGACGGGGGACAATCCCCCTCCAGCACCAGGTGGCACCAACACCCAGGTCAACGGCACCTGTGAGCTCTGTGGCCACGTCTGGCGCTGCCCTCTCCTACCTGGCGGGGGAGCCACAGGGCCAGAGCCAGGAGGGCGGGCAGGCCCTTCATGACGTGGGAAGCCCTTTATAACTGGTGACATCCCAGCTGGGCAGCAGACGGAGGGCGCTCTTTATCCCCAGGAGGACAGATTAGGGGCTGGATGAGGTGCCAGTTACAACAGGAAATGGGTGTCAGATGAGCCACATCCAGGCCGGGAAGGGCTCCTCGTGGAGATGCAGGCCAGGGGCCCTGGGGACAGGCAGCTGCGATCGGGACCCGAGCGTCCAGAAACCGCCTCCAGGGTCAGGCTGGCCCACGGTGCGGCACTCCTGGGCTGGGCGGGTTCACGTGGGGCCCTGGACTCTGAACTCCCAGGAGCCGCGGGAACTGGGCTGACATTTCAGGGGAGTCTCCGGTTGGGTCCCAACCAGGGGGAAGGTCACAGAAAGGGAGATGAACTTGACCCAACTCCTAGCCAGCCAGCGTTCTCAAGCGCCTGGGTGCCCTCTGTGGGCCTCCCTCTACCTCAGGGGCCTCCTGGGCCAGCCGGTCGATGGCCTCCGGGTCGTTCTGCATCTCCTCCAGCTCCTGCAGGGTCTTGTCTTTCAGGGTCTCCATCGCTCCCTGTGGACACAGGACGGTGCTGACGTGAGGGGAGAAGCTGGCGGGGTGCGGACAGGCGAGCTTCCTGAGGGTGCTCCCCGCCAGTGTGGCTCCAGGGGGGGCAGTGGTCCCATTTCCTGTGCTCCTGCCGCCCTGCCCAGCCCTCTCCCCAGGGAGACCAAGGAGCTGCTCCTTCCGCCCAAACATGGCCAGCAGGACGTGAGAACGCACTCAGCAGCCAGAGGGAGCACAGATGGCGCTCCCCGAGGAGCAGATGGGAGAGGCGAGCAGAGAGCGCCGCAGCCAGGGGCGGGGAGAAACTGGCCCCAGGCGATGCCAGCGCCCACCCTGGCATGTGTCTATCTCCATCCGGACCAGGAATACACCCACCCCCACCTGGGCCTGGCCGGCTGCGCCAGCACAGCCCCCAACGCCGCCGCTGGTTACATTTAGGCACCGGCAGCCTCGGGTCCCCTCAGTGTTCTCTGAAATGCCGTCCTCCCCACGTGCCACAACGGACTGTCACATTCATGTCCTCATCACGACAGGGAAACAATTCCCCGACTGGCTTCCCAGGCAGCCAGGAGGAAGAGAAACAGCGACCTGCACAGAGCGATGCTCTGGCGAAGAGCCGCCATGTGCCCGGGGGACACTCACAGACCGTCTGTATGACAAGGCTCGCAGCCAGACCCCGGGGCCAGGAGGAGAAGGCGCACACAGAACACCCACGGCTCGCTGGGTGCTGTGCTTATCTGTCTATCTTTTCTAGAAGGCACTGCGGAGCCTGCCTTCGTGTTGGTCTGCTCACTCCCAAGGCCGCTCGTGTCCTGAAGATTCTGACGCTGGGGAAGCTGCAGCCCCCCACACCCCGCCCCGGTGCTGGTCCAGTGAGTCCGCCCCCACTCGGCCAAGGGGGTGCTCTGGGCCACGGTGACGG